CAACACATATACACCCTTACGATTCACAAATCGCATCTGTCTGTCTCCATCGCAATGCACAACAAAGGCATTGTCAAAATCAGTATCCATGGTAATGCGGTATCCCGCAGCAATCATCTCGCGCATAATAATAATAACTGAGACATTAATCGTTAATATGCTACTCTATGGGCATTCGATTGCCGGTGAAATATTCGGCGGGAAAGGTCAAGTACTGTGAAGCGGTGAGTCAACAACAAGTTTGAACCATGTGAGGCATCTGTATTTTTGAACAGAAGTTGCTCAAGTCTCCCAAAGGGGTAAAGACTTCTCCTGTGACGTGGCGGGGTGAATTTGGGGCATGTAAGGTCCCGCGAAAAGTTGGTCAGGGTCCAGGGGAGAAAATTGTCCGCAGACTGCGGCGTTGTGCTTTCATGGAGCGACGGAAATCTCTGCGTTCCTGACGAAGCAACTTAAGCCACTCTTCCTTGTCCACCAATGACTTGCAAAGGACTCGTCCACGGCTTGTTAGCATCGCTTGAATTTCCTTAGGCAAGTCATCGGGACCCATATCAAACTGTGAGTGAATCCCCTCATTGACAGTACTGTGACGTTCATGTAGTTGAACGTTATCATCCGAATGTTGAAAGGAGTTCCGTTGCTCCCACATGTAGAAGCCGATCAAGATCAGCTGTTGTAAGAGACGGGATATTCCAAAAAAACACACAATTAAAAACCACACGCAAATCCGGGTTCCAAAACAGCACCTCTAGTACTTCTCCTACATAGAGCGGCCGTAGCGACGCCGAAAAAGAGGTTGTTTTCAACTGGAAAACAAAGGACCAAGATGAGCAAAAGAAAGACAGGCAAGGGCCCCAGGGCACAAAGAGTATCCGAAAATGATTCCTATCATGCTCCTGTAAGCCTTGTCCAAAAAGAACGGGGAAATGTGGACAAAATCTGCCCATTTGATGCTTCTGCCTTTTTGGGTCTGTTGGACGATGATGACAGCGACAAAATCCCTGATGATGAGGAGGATAACAAGAAGCCGCACAGTCAGAAAGCAAACTGGGATTCCTACTATGTCAGTAGTTATCCTGTCCCACAAGAACAAGCGAAAATGGTCCAATCTTGCCCATTTTCAGCAGCCTTCTTGGGTTTTCCTGATGATGCTCGCGGTCCCATCAACACAGTTTTTGATGATGACCGTGACATGGCAACTGAAAAGGCCTCCAGCACAAGCGCACTATCCACTCCAATGGTGGTTCTCCAAGATGCTGAGGAGGATATCCCTTTCCAGAAGCCTGATAAAATGGCCCAACAGCTTTTCTCATTTTTTACATTTGGTGGCAAGAATGGAATCGATGACAGACATGAGGCCCCTCTTTGGAAGCATGGAAGCCCCGCAACGCCTTGCAAGGTATCAAGGCTTGCTGAGACGGCCGGACCTTGGGTGCATGTGGCCCTTTTGTGGCTCATAATATGTTCTACCAATTGGATGCCCTCTCCTGCGCCGACTCCTTGCAACAATCCAACTCTTGGCAAGGACCTATTGCAAAGCAATGGCAATTGGTTCCTTCATCCTCCTGTTGATTGGCAGATGCCTCAATTTGATTTCCCTATATGGATGTTCAAATGTTGGCATTCTTCCCTCCTACATCCAGGCAATTCACCACTTATCTGCAGCTTCACGGCACTTCTTGGCCCTATCAGAAGATGCAATAGGTATGGGAGAGGACCATACGGCCCAATTTGGTGGTCTGATGGACGAAAAAAATCTGAGTATGTTGGTCGTCATCCCGAATGTAAATAGTCATGCAAGACAAAGGCCAGCACCTTCAAGGGTGAAGGATAGTCATTCGAAAGTGATTCTTAGGTTGATTGCAATGTGTAGCTGCATTCGCATGGCTGTCAATCCTGCAAAGCAGGCTGCTGGCAATTGCGGTGTGGCAGAGTTACATGGCCAACGCATTATGTGACAATATACCAAGAGAAGCACCAATGAAGACGTTAAGAATGATTGCCACATCTAAGTCATGGCTTCCTGCGCCTAGATTCAGCAGAAAACAGCAAAAGCACACTGTTGTTATCAAGAAAGGAAATGAGCAACTCCATGTAGTTGATTTTGCTTATCAGAAGGCTCTGGAGAAGCAAAATAGAGCTACAGCAACAACTAAGCTAGCTGTACCTGCTAGGAAGTATTCATATTTAGGTTTGTCCCTTTGTAATGATCATTTTAATGCTTATTATAGTAGTAGTATGGTGTAAATAGTAGTGCGTACATTTTTTTATATCCGATAAAATATCTCGGATAAAATCGAAGCGTTAAGGGATATATAGGACGTGCAGTGACGTACCCACTGAAGCTTGGTTTGATGTAGAAGTGAAAATCAGGAGTTTCAGGGAGTGTTGGTTTTCAAAAGCACAACTTGAGGTCATGGTGTCAAAGTCAAGATGGGGTTAGCTAAGCTAAAGTTAGGGTTGCCGTACGTAATCTGTCATACTTTTGTCAAATAATGCACTCAAGTGATTTGGTTGACCAATTTGAATTTCAAGATTCGCGAGTCATGATAATATGACAACAACAAAAGTCGCTTAGAATAATAGAATCATCCATGCCAAGAAAGTGTAGAAGAAAAGCACAGGGAAAACAGCAAGGACCCTTCTCGGAGCTGCAATGTATTGACCGATAAAAACCTGAAGATGATAGCTGAGTGAGACCTGGAGAGCATAAGCTGATCAACTATGATTCACTCACCGATGAAGCCCTTGTAGACCACAGAAAAGCAACTACAAGAACAGCCAGTTCTACCAACGTTGAAAAAGCACCGAGGGGTATCATCTTGAAAAGGTCGACGACAACAGCAGCCAATGTCATTGGAAACACACAGTATCCCAAAACACAAACGGACTGGAAGAACGAGATCGTCCCTCCCAGCAGCTGCGCATTCACTGTCACAACTGCAGAACCTATCCAGACAGCGCAAAAAACCGCTGCAAAGACAAGGCTGGCTTGACCTGCAGGCGCCTTAAATGATAGCAAGACAGCTAGACCCAAACACACAACCAAAGGTCCCCATAAATCCCAGTCCTTCAATCGTTGGATGATCTCCTTGTCCCGATCTGTAATCTCAACATTCTCAGACTGGGAAACTCCAGCGTATCCTCCATAGGGGATCTGATAGGACAGAAAGTAAGCCCTATAATTAAGTCGTCTTGATAATTGGAGATACCTGGGCCAAGCATCTACGCGAAACTTACATTGCGCTCCATTGGCAGCATAACAACTTTCAGCTTCGAGGCCACGGCATGTACGTCCCTCATAATTGTTTCCATTACTGGTTCATCCAAAGTCGAGAGAGGTGCAAAGAACTCTTCTTCTTGCACCACCGCATCGGGTCTAGTTACCTCCGGATTCGCCCATTGAGGCCCACCTGTTTGATTCATGGTCATGCTGTTTGCAGTGTGAAATTTGTTTCTGCTTGTTCGTGTGGCCGCCGTTGTCCTAACTGGGGAGGGGATATCCACTCACTTTACAGCCATCGTCTTGCAGTCAACCCACAACATCCGTAGGTCGCACGTAAACGCGAAGGGTCTCCCTGAAACGGCCCATAGAACAGGCCCAAGGTATTGGGACTCTAGAAGCTCCTTCGGTTGGGGACTATATTAGACCTTAGGTCTTACGTAAGCACTTTCTGTGCCTTTTCAAAGTCATCTATAATTTTCAATAAGACTCTTCTGTGAAGATTGGGTTACTATTCGAACAGCCAAAGGCTTTTACTGAAGAGATATACTCTGCAGAGTTACAGTAAACTACTATTGTATCATTTGCTACGCATCTGACTTTGTTTCAGTTTCTTTGAAATTCAAGAAGTGAAGATACAGCACTGACTTCTTTCGAGACAAACTCACCATTTTCCTACGTTCAACAAGGCAAAGACATTCACCACGAGATTGTATTCTACTTTCCTGGTGAAGATGGTGCTGATCGTGAACGAAAAGCAAAGGTTCCACTTTATCTTGGCAAGACCAAGAATCTTGAGTCCTTTTGCACAATGTTTATCTCCTTCAAGAACCTCGGCAAACATTGGAGTCTCACAGGCAATACTAATGCCGTTGGTGCTCTCAAGTTCGCTCTCTTTGAACAACATCTTGGCGGCAATGCCCTCCATGAGTGGCAAATCATATCGAACAACGCGCCAAGTAATTCGGTCGTGCAATTCAAGAATTCCGTTGACACTTTTATTACCAGGATGTCACCTGGCAAATCTCCAAGGAACAACGCAAGCTCATTTCTCAAATCTCTGGCAGTCAGAAAGACTATGAAAACTGATGTTTCTGAACACATTCGGCAACTCGAACTTCTATGTTTTTATCACGACATGCTTCCGGGAACATCTCAAAAGCTGGATGAACCTGACAATATTTCTGTACTGGCAAAAAAGACGAATCTTCCATCACAGTGGCAATAATGGAAGAATATTTTCAAGCTACTAAGATCCTCATGGACAACACCCTTGCTGCAAAGGAAGGAGTTTGTGAGCGAACTGGACGTGCAAGCCATCATCTCTCTC